TCGAGCAGATCAACACTCCCGCCCAACTTGGTGTCGTCTGCAAACTTACTGAGGGAGCACTTGATCCCCTCATCCAGATCATTGATAAAGATATTGAACAAGACCAGCCCCAAAACTGAGCCCTGGGGAACACCGCTCGCGACCGGCCGCCAACTGGATGTAACTCCATTCACCACAACTCTCTGGGCCCGGCCGTCCAGCCAGTTTTTGACCCAGCGCAGAGTACACCTGTCTAAGCCGTGAGCCGCCAGCTGCTCGGATGTTACTCCCTCTTAGCTGAGCAGACTTTCTAGACTCCACACAAAGCACTGACTTGACTTTCTAAACTGCAATAAAATGCTAGATTTGAAATACGCAAATCCAGAGCTATCTTTCCCCTCAATGGTATGCTATCAGCAAACACAGCTGGCTAAAAAGAAGACAACTCACCACTCCCTTGAGCAAACTGGCTGCCTGGATTTAAGTACCACACATATTTGTGAGATTTTTAAACTAATTTTTGAGAAGATAACAAGGGAAGCAGAGGAGATGGAAGGAAAAGCCTAAAACCAATAATTGTTCAGCTATCAACCTGGGGTCCACCATTACCAACTTTCCCTGCAGAAACTTAAGTCATTGCTTTACAGCATCAGGTAGGTTCCATGTAAGTGCTGCCACCAGCTATGAGCATCACTGAGGCATTTTAATTTTACTAGGTAACCGGCCAGTTGTTGGGACTCACATCTCAAAGGATATTTAATTCATTTCTAGAAATAGACAGTTCTGGAAACATTAACAATGTCTGTCACAAAGAGATCACAATTTCTGAAAAGCATATACCTGTTCCAAAATGGTGTTGATTCTGTCTACTTCACAGTCAATTAAGTATCTTTTTTCTTGCCGCCTGTCCATCTCCTCTATAATTCTTCTGAACTCTTGAACATCCTTTATGCTTCCTACAGATCTGGCTGTCACTTGCCAGTTGTTTTGTACTGCTGCTTCCATAATCGCCTGAAGAATGGAAAATCCTGTAGGGGGAAGAGACAATGCAACCATTTAAAAACAGAACAAAAATAAAAACTGTTTTGAATGTTTGACAAAGGGTTCACAAAAACTTGCATCATCTAAAGGGACGCAGACTAGCTAATAGCCTGCAAGTGCTTCATTACTTGAGAAAGCAACAGTGTAGGGACCAGTTTCTTCTTTCAGCTATGCCACTGCCAAAGTCACTGACTTCAGCAGAATTGCTTTGCGGTATATTACTGTGAGGCGTATCAGAATCTGTCCAATATATCATATTATGATCCTCTCAGGGATGTTTATGGTTGTGCTGCGGTCCGTGCCAGCTAAGAATAGGAGCCTGCAGCCATTACTTGGGCAAAAGTCCATCAGCTTGAAGAGCCGGACAGAAGGGGTAATTTGCCTGTACAGACTGCAGCAATGGGTCATTAACTGGCAAAGATCCAAGCACTGCACAAGAATGCCAATTAAGTCATTGTACTGGTTACTGGAGCCATGAACCACAGGAGAATATTTTACTGATACTCACTTTGATTTCAAAAAATGTTTTAAAATATGGAGTCTAGCAGCATTAACCACACTTTCAATGCTTTCATTAAGGTAATACCAACTCATTTAGCAGCCTCAATGGCAGAGAGAAGCAGCACAGAATGACCAAAGACTGCACAGTGGGAAATTATACAAGCAAACAGAATTTGGTGAATTACCTGTTTTGATTCAGGAAATTAAAATTTTTGCATAGTTCTAATTGTTTCGAATCTGGGCAGATGCCAATCAAAGACAGAGGTCATCTACTTCAAGCACACACAGTGGTTTCCAGTGGAGTTTCTTTGTACAGAAGCATCCATGTGAGCTGTGTTTCTGTCCAGATAATTTGTTTGCAAAACTTTCAGTCCAATCATTTAGTCATACTGTGGATTTCTTATCCACAGCCAGATTTGAGATGTTCAGAATGTCTTCACACACATAAACACACAAACATACAGGATCAACAATCAATTAATTGTGCTCTGTGATAACCAGTCCCCTATGCTTCTGAAACTGAAAGGAGTTTGAGCTACAGAGGAACGACGTGTTCACTGCTTCGGATTATACCAATAGCTATTCTGAACTCAGATATCATTGTAGGGGCATACCGATAACAAAGAACTTGTGCTGCTGTCTGATCTCCCGTAGCCTGCTGTAAATCTGTAGTGGCTGTCTGAAGCCAGAGGAGCTGCATCATTACCTCATTACAGACACAAACAAGAAAAGAGTGTGATTTTTCTAGATTGCAGTTAGATTATTATAATTTACCATGTGACTTCCTTAAGTCACTCAAATGCCCTCACTTTCCCTGTGCAGCCGCCTTGATTCTTAATGTTTTTCTTTGTATGAATGCACTTTACTATCCCATGAAAGCTGGTGACAGTTAACATGTACGCTGGTTGGGAATTCTTTCTGGCATCTTCTTTCCCCTGAGACTACTGAAAGGGAGGCACTTACATATGTATAGCACAATGAACTCAGTCTTCCTTAACATCATATTTTACAAAAATGGCCGTGATGTCTGTGACAGCATTGTGATTCCATTACATGTAGGAGGAAGATCTAAGCCTAAGATATTTGGTTGGCTGCAAACGAGGAGTTTTGATGTGGGAACATAAATACCACTAATGGGGATTTACAAATGCTTTGTGTACAAAGATGTGCTTTTAAAAAATATGATTCCACTAAGTAATGAATATTTACAACTTTGTTTCATCATTCATATAATGTCTAAGCATGAACCTTGAGCCTGCCGTAAACAACAGAAAACAGTCCATAAGTCTATTTTTTTCTCTCCAAACTGAACAAAATGGTTCAACATATTATAAAAAAAAGACACTTTAAAAAAATCTGTAGCTCTATTTTTTGCTAATAACACATACAAAACTTACAAATTGTCTCAAGGAAAGAAGTGAAAATGAACATGCTGGAGAGCAGATGCCATTGGTTGACTGCCATGCACCCAGTTTCAGTTAACACTGCGTCAGAGCTCGCTTTGTCAAACCTTGAATATCTCAGAAGAAAGCTGGGCAATTTTCCTAATTTTGTGCAATTGCATGTTTGTGTGGGTGTGAGTGTGTGTGTCTTTGCATGCATGTGTATTAGTCAGTGGTTACCATTTCAAGAAAGAGAAGAGCAAGGTTACTCAGCAGCCTTTTTCCTATGCATGAAAATACAATTACTGTAATCTTAAGTGTGAAAAAGTTCCAGAGCGTCACCATTTCTGTCTTCTCTACCTCCTGTTTCTCCTTGTCACACCAAGTCTTTACAGTCACAGTCCCCTCTACCCTTGCCAGTTCTTGAAATCCTCCCTATGGTCACCGTCTGTGCTATGCCAGCTCGCCTCTCTTGGGCCCTCTCCCTCTCCCGTCCTCACTTTGAGAAGTACCATTTGCCCTTCCTGTGACAGGTCATTTGGCCAGTCCTCTGACGACCTTTACAAAGCCCCTTCCCCTTGCTTTACAAAAGCATGGTTCAAACCTCCTGCTTTTAGGAATGCAACACACTCACATCTTCGCAAATATGCGTTGCACTGTTCCCAACCTCCAATCTCTCTCCATGCCTATTGCCTCCAGCGCCATTTACTACATTTTACGTTGTTACCCATTACGTGATATTTCTGTAAACATGTTCCAGGCTCCAGCTGTACTCTACCATTAAGAGAGCTGTTACATAAGCAGTGTGATTGTTTAAATAAAAGGACCATTTTATCTTCAAATGTGAACTTTTCTTTCTCCTTAGCATAACAATGCAAGCTGTGACAGTTCGGGGGTACTGCCTGGGTAACGAATGGGGAAATTATTTTCCCTGTTCTGTGCATGTCAGCGACCAGACCTGTACACTGAGCTTTTCCATTCCCTACCCTCCAGTAAACATGCCGTGTGAAAGCTTCACAAGAGATGCTTGCCCCTGAGCACCCTGGAGGTGCTGAACTCTCATGGGTGCCTCTCATCTCATTCACCCTAAAGGAAACCAGCTAGCCATGGCAACTATCTCTATTTTGTAGTTCTTCTATTGTCTGCATCAGATCTATCCCAGAAGACTAGAGGATTGATAATTCATTACCGGTCTGTGAAGAAGCCATGCAGGAAAGGCTTTCATTAATACTGTTGCTGGTTTATACTACTTCAATCGATAAAGCAAAAAAATATTAGATAATACAAGAAAAACTGACATCCTCCTAGAAGATGACAGCAACGACATAATCTCAAAACAGGTTCATAATGCCATTACTAAAATTCAGAGGTTGTTCATTCTATAGTCATTGACACAAATACAGACAACAGGAAAAATTCAGTCAGACCCCAATCTGATCTTTCAACCTCTTTTTTCTTGGTCATGCCTTGGATGTAAAAAAGCAGCAGGATGGAAGGCATGCATTTTTCTGGAAGCACTGCTTCTGAGGCTAGCTCGTCTGATGGCACCACATCCCTTCACTGCACTACGTTATTAACGTGTTGGCATTACTGATTTACAAATACATCTGGTCACACGATGGCGATGTCCATACTTGCCAAGTCATGTAACAGACCCATATTACGTTTTGGTCCCTTTTAGCCACGTACTGGGGAGGGGTTGCTCCTGTGATCTTTGAATGCAATCTCACAAGTCAATCTGATCTGCACCTACTAAAAGCTTAGACAATCCTGGGCTTAATATTCAAATGTGTCATTGTCTGGCTTATTCTTAAAATATTGATGATTTAAAAGAGCTAACCCTCATCTAAACAGTCTGCAAAATGATTGGGCTGGAAGTAGATACAGTAATACAACTAGAACACAAGTGCCCAGCTTACCTCTCAGTGAGCTGAAGCAAGTATTTTGAGTTCTGCTGACTGAAGCTTGCAAAGAGGGAAAATATTCAATATAAATTTCCCTCAAAGCAGGGAAAACATTAGTTGTTGCAATGCTATCTCTGTACTTTAAACAACCCAGACAGAATTACATTCTAGGCAGTCCTCCCTGTAGCTGGACTAAGACACAAATTCACCCAGTATCTTCATACTTCTGCCAGGGAAGCAAAGCCTGTACTTCAGTCTTTCAGATCATCCCTTTGATACAAGCATCTCTCAACTGACCCTGCTGACACAGGTGGAGAGGACACTTCACTCTTTTGCATCTATGAAAGCTCATGAAACTTTTCCCACATCCACATAAGTAAAATTCATCTGAGCAGTTTGCTCAGCCATATGAAGTTTTAGGTACTACATCATTGAACTTACTCCTGTTTAAGTAACAGCAATCATTAATGTGTCATAAGTAAAAGACCACACTGGAACATCTGTAGTATCACATGAGACCTCGCAGTTGGCACCAAAGTACTTACTGAGAAAAAATTACCGCTTACGTAAATCACTTTTTTCCTGAATGTTCCTGATAAGATCTTGGACCTTAGCCTCCTATTAGAAATGAAAGAGCATTTGCTTGCAGTCCCTCTTTCTTTTGCCTTGCTGAGTACCAAAGATCTTTGAGGGGTATATTTTCCTGGCATAGAGCATGCTTGTGCCAGCTGAATGAACATCAGCTCTGCTCTGAATACTTGTGTTTTGAACTATGTATCTGGGACATGATATGAAGAACTCAGCTTCTAGCCTGCGAGTCAACTTCAGGGATTTAAGTGTAGAGCTGTGTTTGACAAAGGCACAATGAACTCATCAAAAAGGAGGCCATCAAGGCAAGTGCTTCCCCAAGACAAATACAAATTCTATGACACCAGCTTACATTTCAAGCGTATCAGAGGTCTCTAAGTTGAGATATACTTTGATATTCTGTGTGTTTGGCACTGAGCCTAGCACTAATTTACAAGCAAACAGATCAACATGGTAGGCGTGAGTAAAAAACAACTAGCCAACCCAAAACACTCCCCATCATTCAAAATCCAAACATCTCAGGCAAGTATGCTTTGCATAACCTATGTCTGCTTAACAATTTTATAGTGGGGGGAGAAGCAAGGAACAAGCTACTAAACTAGTCACCAGTAA